TTAAATATTTTTGAAAAGAATTACATTTAGTATAACAAGCACATTTTATGACTAAATTAACCCAAATAGGGTACTTGTTCACCATGGAAAACCTAACCAAAATCAACCTTGGGGAAATTGTCATTTAGGGGCATTTAATAAAAGATGAGAAAATACATAAATAATGTCCTAAAATTGTATTCAATCACATCTTGGTTTTAGCACAATCTTTGTGTCACTTGGGTAATTAAAACTAAGGATTTTGAATCAATTATTGAATTGATTAATGTCAGTTTAATAGACTTGTTGGCATATACAGTTGCCGACACATCTTCAAGACCACTGTCCTGCATACACTTATCCCCAGCTCCAATCAGGCGTAAAGACAGATGTTTGAATTCTTTAGGATTGTCAACCTTTATTTTATACGCCTTTGCAAAGAGAGCTTGGTCAAATGTAATTTGACCACAACACAGGCCAGATTTTCTTCTTTGGAGATCTACAAAAGTCATTGTACTATAAACCGCCTCCACTGTCTGTGGATTTAATGGGATGATAGGATTGTACATGACTGAAGAGCAAACAACTGTACCATCTGTGACCTGAGACATAAAACCCTGCCAAATTGGAGTTGCTCAACAAGCGGGACACTTTCCACAGCATGTCCATACTTTGGAAGTGTGTCATAGGAAGATTGATCGGCTGCAGCTCCTCAAACACAACATTGGGCAGTTGACTTCTGACTGGCTGATGGTAGGGTTTTATGAGTGTACCAAAGGTTCCTGATTTCATAATCTCAGCAGATGTTACTTTCTGTCTGGGGATGGAAATTGTTTTACTTTCTTTGGGTGTTTGACAAGTTATTATTCCCATTACATGTGAAATATCTTGTCCATTTAATGAATCTTCATTGTGATCAAAGTTGTCTGCGATCAATTGGCAAAATCCTGAAGCAGGCTCAGTTGATTGGTTGACGTTATCTTGATTGACAGCAGCCGATTTCTCGAAGTCAATGACTTTATCATAAGAGGCGCTAAACCCAAGGGAGGAAAGAACACTGAGAAGAACTCTTGACCGTGTAAGGTGATGGATAAACAGACCTACACAGAGCATCAGAGTTGAGATGTATGACTGTCCTGAAGCCGTCTGAAGTAGAACATGACATAGAGAAATGATAAGAAGTCTCTGTTTGGCAAGAGATGATGGACTCCTTGACTTCGGTAGAATTCTTTCAATGAGACAGGAGAAGCGGCAGTACCTGCTCTTCAAGTTTGTCCACATTGATGTCAATAGGTGAAGGATTTTCTTGGGTTGAAGATTCATCCTGAACTTGACTCCACTTGCTTATGTCATCTCTGAGAATGGATCCAGCTTTCTTTATAATCTTCATATCTTCAGTTTCCTTTTGAACGTCAGTTTGAGTGTAAGATCCATGAAGAATGGAAGATGCTGTACTGTTGAAAGTGATAACATTTGGTTTTCCATCTATCTCAGAAAATGTTATTTGATCTCCAAATGTATCAATCAGTCTCCTCTTGGGGTGTTTTATGGAATATGGTTCAGTTTCAGGAGATAGATAGGATGAAAGTTCCTTGTGCACATCTTGGATTGTGAACTGCTGATAGTTATGATTATCTTCCTCAAGCCATCTGCACAACTTGACAAAGGCTCCGTTGTTTCCCTGGTCAGAGTTACGTGAATTGGTCTTGCTTTGACTGTGTTTGATGTACCTGGGGGATGTAAATACCTGAAGACACTGTCTATGGTATCTGGCCTCAACTGCTCTTATATCTCCTGCATACAAAATACGGGCTTTGACAGCTGATGCATCATCATCTTGTCTTTTACTACAAACATCTAAGAGAGTTTCTTGAAGAACAGATTTTGTGTCATTATTTATGATTTCAACTTTGCTAGCATCATGAAGGTGAGGATGTTTTTGTAGATCGATGGAGTCAATCTTCTTTCCACAGATCAAGCAGCAAGTGTCATAATCAAAATTATTTTCTGAATTTCTTAGGATAGGAATAGGAGTGATGGACTGAGCTGCCTTAACGTTTTTCTTTGCAGTGTATGATTTTCTACAATTTTCATGAACGTGATGATTGTCTGACTGTGAAAGATATTCATGCAGGTCATCCTTTCTTTGTTCAGAAACACTCAGCAGTGAAAGAATTCCCTCGCTTGTAAGCTTCACTGTAGCATCAGGTTTCTTACAAATGATGCAGAAAGACATGCCTGAAACATTAAAAATTAATTCATTAATATTTCAAATGTTTTCAAAATCATCCAAATTTTGCTTATATGAATGATCATTTTACTAGTCAACAAGGCACAGTTGACTTTATTTGTTTGATATGGGAGGTAACTCTTATAATGTTTGTGAGAATTTAAGACATGTGCTTCAGGCAAAGCTCAGGGGAATTTTAGAAATGTGGGCATAACAAAATGGTATGAGCTTAATTTCTCTGTTTTTATGATTCATCTTTGTATTTTAGAAATGGTAAACTTGTAAATATTTTCATTAATTTATGTACATATTTTAAGTTTTATTGAAAAAAAATTCCAATGGCATCACAATTTTCACTCACTTAGTGCATTAGGTAATGTTTTTCTAATTTCATTTCTTAATTAATTCATAATTTCTATTAATTTTGGGAATTATTAAAACTTGGAATCCTACTGTTTGGACAATGTTTTGCAGGTGTAACATATCTGCTTTTCATTGGTACTTTGTGAACTAATTCTAATTTTTTAACAGATCAAAGAGACAAATACACCAAAATAAAATAGACTATCCAAATCTGTTTTCATCAATATACCATGGTAACCATGTATTGTGTAGTGAACAATAATATTTTCATTTCTAATCTATATTTGAAATATGATTTTGACTATCATTGACTACAAATTACTCAAAGATTTAATTATCAACAGGCGCTTTCATATTATGTAATGAGTCGGAGGGAAAGTAGCATCAGTAGGAGTGCATTGGTAGTTTATGCAGTGGTTCCATATATATTTCTATATATTTTTTTTTAGGGTAATATGTCATTCTAGATTTGATTGCATCTGTCTCCTAGAACACCCTAAACATCTACTCCATCACCATATGACAAGAAAAACTAGTAGGAAAACCATAATATTACATGACCTTGAAGCCTAGACATCAAGTCTATCTATCTTGTTCAAATTTGCATTGATCAAACAAGATCATTTTGAAGTTATTCCTCAATGCCTTATGCCTTTTAACAGTTATTTAAAACTCACAGTACTCACCTTGTATGTCAAATTTCACCGCTTCAAAACTTCTGTTGTCACAACAATGTCGGCCATTTTTTTGCTGTTACTATGAAGGGAGATAATATTAGTCATACAACTGATGTTATATGTAAGAAACCTCAGCACAACATTGAGGTACATTTTCAAGTGGTCATAACTTTTTCTGCCCAAGGTTGATTTTGGTTGGGGTTTTTTCTCAGCATCACAGGAACCTATAAATCATTTTAAGACACAAATTTGCTTGTTATACTAAATGTCCGGGTCAACTTAATTTCATGTCGATTTCTACTGGTCTAAACACCCAACTTGCAGTTTGCACTGCCTGACTCCCGGGGTAACCTCCTGCCACCTCTTTTTGGAGAACTACTTGCTGTGGTGTCAATCACGAAAGGGCAATCCCAAACGAGGCTCTATCGGGGCATTCCACAAATATTGGTATTCATGGACAAGCAAAGAAATAATCTGGTGTAGGGTTTCATTCACCCTGAAGTGCAGAGATTGTTTTACTGTGTAAAGTTACAGTGACGCAAACATAAAACGTGCAGTGTTTAGCTGACTGGTGCTGTACTGGACAGGTCGGAATGAAGCCTGACAACACCACGTCTAGTCTTGACGAGTGGGTCTAGGCGATTTTACTGAAAGCAAGTTGAAATACTCGGCATAGGGGTAATACTTTGGTCGTGGAAGTAATGCTTTGGCCTAACGAAACCAATTCGAGTCTAATCTGATGTCCATTTCCTAACTGAAGCAGCAAGTTCACCCAAAAATCTAGATATACAGGAATAATTTAGTGGATCACAGCAGAGTTGAAATACAAGATTCAAAGCCAGCACAATTACAACATCAGCGTAAAAGATCAGAAAATTAGTAATCGGAATAGTGTCTACTATAAAACTATCAACCTTGAACAAGCAATGACAAATGTCCCCCATGAGGACCAGAGGCACAACGAGTGACAAATGTCCCCCATGAGGACCAGAGGCACGGCGAGTGACAAATGTCCCACATGGAGACCAGGTGCACAAGAAGTGACAAATGTCCAACATGGGGACCAGGGGCTCAACGAGTGACAAATGTCCAACATGGGGACCAGAGGCTCAACGAGTGACAAATGTCCAACATGGGGACCAGAGGCTCAACGAGTGACAAATGTCCAACATGGGGACCAGGGGCTCAACGAGTGACAAATGTCCAGCATGGGGACCAGAGGCTCAACGAGTGACAAATGTTCAGCATGGGGACCAGAGGCTCAACGAGTGACAAATGTCCAACATGGGGACCAGAGGCTCAACGAGTGACAAATGTCCCACATGGAGACCAGGGTCACAAGAAGTGACTAATGTCCAGCATGGGGACCAGAGGCTCAACGAGTGACAAATGTCCCACATGGAGACCAGGGTCACAAGAAGTGACTAATGTCCCACATGGGGACCAGGGGTACAAGAAGTGACTAATGTCCCACATGGGGACCAGGGTCACAAGAAGTGACTAATGTCCAACATGGGGACCAGAGGCTCAACGAGTGACAAATGTCCCACATGAGGACCAGGGGCACAAGAAGTGACTAATGTCCCACATGGGGACCAGGGGCACAGCGAGTGACAAATGTCCAACATGGGGACCAGGGGCCGTATTTATCAAACAACTAAGTTTTGACTTAAGAAAAAACTTAAGTTTCTTAAAACTGACTTAGCCAAGTCAAAAACTTAAGTTGGTATTCACAAACGGGCTAAGTCTGAAACTTAGCTAAGTCCGCCGACAAAAACTAAGTCGATTTCGCCGAACGCGATCACGTGATCACTAGGGACTATCCCGGTTATTTTTAGCCTACCAGTGGAACTCTTTTTACTGAGAGACATAAAAACATCCTCGGGGGAAATTCCCGGACAGCGCAGACGATACACGAACGGCATCAAATGGATACTATGGCGGATGAAATGAAGAAGAGGCGGCCTAATTTCACAAAAGAGGAGTGTCTGCTGCTAGCGGAGCTAGTTGCGGCAAACAGAGTGGTGCTTGAGGGCAAGTTTGGGCCTGGCATCACCTCCGTGAAACGACAGGAGGCGTGGCAGGTACGTATTCGAAGCTCCGCGATAGATCTAGTGGGTGTTCTGACGATGGATTCGTTTCACATTACCTGACTGATATAATCACACATATACATACCCATGTAGTGGTCAGTTGTTGTTTTGTTGGGTATTAATTCCCCTAGGACCTTCGGAGCAAATTGCAAAACCACATACGTCATTTTACTGACATACTGAAATTACGGCAATATTAGGAAAGAATTAAATATTTTGAAAATGAATACTGCAGTACACATCTCGTTTTTCTTTATATTATTGTCTAAATAAGAGCCCAAATGCACTTTATAACTAGTTCACGTGTAAAAATTCAAGTTTTTATGCACTGATTAAATATCTAAATGTAATTTGATGGGATTTTTCCCCATTTGATGTATTCTGTTTACATTGTAGATGATTACAGACACCCTCAATTCAAGCATCACCCACAAGAGGACCAGGGATGAGGTGGAAAAAAAATGGAAGAACTTGAAGAGTTCATCCAAGAAGACCTATTCCAAGTTCAGGCAGCAAACCATTGCCACTGGTAAGCATGTTTATGGTTACAGCTATTATTAGTTATCAAAACATAAGTGTCATAAAAGGTTACATAAATGATGTGATAAATGTCAGAAAGTTGAGAAAAGAGTTTCACTCACAATATTTCCAGACCTACATTGTAAGTTCTTGTATATACTCAATATTTTCTACCATCATAAACCTATAATTACAAAATGCCATTAAGAAAGTGGTCAAATGTAACATATGTTACACTTTCATAGTATTAAAGTGAAGTACAGATTCTAGTACTTCTGTTGGCTGGAATCCCATCCGGGACTTGAACCCATGCCCACAGAGTCAGGCACCTATCACCAGCTGAGCGGGTTAGGCGGCTGACTTTGTGTGCTGGCGATTAGGTGCCTGACACTGAGGGCATGGGTTCGATTCCCGGATGGAACTCCAGCCAACAAAAGTACTAGAATCTGTACTTTACTAAGAAAGTGTAATGCCAAATATAACATGTTACAACATAAACCTACTCTATTCCAGTGTTTCATCGTAAAGTGAGTACTTACCTACTGGGTTTGTGATATATTTCTACATCAGGCCAGACCAATTTTATTTCTGGTTTTACAGATCTGCCTGTCGTATTTTTTCAAGAATAAGAAAAGCCATAAAAATTAATTTTCCCCACTCAAAAACTAAAATCCTAATGTTTTTATTGGCCAAATATATAAACTTACAAGAAAATTTGTTTAGGTTGACTTTTGCCCCATACACACTTAAAAATTGCCAATGAGTATTTACTTTGACTGGTGATTTATTTATTTTTTTACCTCCTGCCTTTGGGTTTTCTGAGGACAAAAATCTGTGAAACAAGAAGTAAGTTTGGTCTGACCTAAGATAATCATATTTAAGCAATTAATCTACTCTTTTTTTTTGCATTTACAGGAGGCGGACCACCCCCAACGCCGGTCAGTCCGGTCACAGATGCAGTTGTTGAGGCCATTGGGAGGGACAACTTAAGTCTTACGGGTCTCTCAGACTCGTGTGATTCTACTGCCCTGCAACTGCTTGATGCCATCACTTCAAGAGAAAGGTACATGCCATATCCATTTTGATATTAATCCGTTTTATACAACACTAAAACCACTGCAATATTTTTTGTCAGGTTTCTCTAACAGCTGAGTCATTGATACCTTAGGCTAGGATTCATCTTGAACATCTGTGAAATGATGCAGCCGTAACATATACTTTTTTCAATAGTATGTCTGTGAGATGAGTTTTACTACTTTTGACTGGAGTCTTTCTCTAACTGATACATGATGAATCTAATATTCTATATTTATATTTTCCTAATATATCCCTTGTAGTGGTTATAATTAGTAATGAATTTTCATATGAATTATTATTCCATGACAGAAGGTTCAGCTATCTGAAAATACTGAACTTACTCAGGCCTGCACTGTTGTTAAGCAGACAACACTCGACATTTGTCTCTTAGTACTTCATCAGTTCATCTTGCCCTGCATGAATTACATGAAGTCCTACAGTTTGGGGGAAATTATAATTTACATTCTTTCCCAATCTGCCTGTCAGGATCACTTGGTTTGAAATGACTGACATGACACTGTTTGAACATAAAACACAAGGCTCGGGATATGGAAATATTATGAACATGTATTTCATTCTCTTATACATTTTACAAATCATGATTTTGTTGTAGCCCTATCATGGTCGGGGACGAGGTCCAGGACGTGGTGAACATTTACCACCTGCCAGAGAAGACAGCCTGTCAGTGCCAGCATCAGCCTTCTGTGGAGGCACTACAGAAAGAAAAACTGGAATTAGAGATTGAATGTTTGAAATTAAAAAGAGAGTATCTTCAGAGAAGAATTAATAAACTAGAAGAATAGATTGTACAGGCACTAATGACAGTATAGGGTATATACATTGTAATTATTAGGGACCTTTCAAAATTTAATGTGTGTGTGTGTGTGTGTGTGTGTGTGTGTGTGTGTGTGTGTGTGTGTGTGTGTGTGTGTGTGTGTGTGTGTGTGTGTGTGTGTGTGTGTGTGTGTGTGTGTGTGTGTGTGATGATTTTAAGTTTTAAGGAGTGGTCACCCATTTTGTTCTTGGGAGGTGGTGGGGGGGGTGTGTGTCAGTAACTGCTCACATGTACTAAGGGGGTCAGAAATTTTGTAAATAGTGAATATTAATTAATTTATGTTAAAAGACGTGAGTGGGTAAATGACCTTGTGCATGACATGGTGGGGGGTGGCAAGTACTTTGTACTTAAATTTTAGGGGAGTCATTCACATTGTACATGCTTCTCCATGACAATCATCATTTCTTCCCCCCTAGAGACATAAATTATGAACAGTGCCTTAGAGGTCTTGCATTTAGAAATATGAAATTAATAATCAATGCATTTCTATGACTTTCATGATAGACTTTGGAAATACGTACATTAAAAGAAGCTGATCGCAAATTGTTCCCTGTATCTGGCTCCTGATGCTGTAGGAGCAATGGCTGGCAAACCTTGCATCTGTGCCCTCCCCTGTCCAGGTTGACCGCTGCTCCCACTTGGACCTGGCATTGGGACATTCCTGTCCTTGCTGATATTGTGCAGCACTGCACAAGCAATTATTACCTAGGGACATATTAAAAAAACATAGTCAAGACACAACAAATGGTCAAGAAATTTCTGTCAATTTAATTAAAAAGTAGGATGTAGAGGACTTATTGTATTTGACCAAGAAATATTTAGTTTTGATACTCTATTTTAATTGATGTTCATTTCTTATCAAATAATAGCATAATGTAATGTTAGTGAAAAAATCTCCCATGGAACTGATTTTAGTTGAATACCTAACCACTAATATTCAGCAATTAATGTGGCCTTCATCTAAAAAATGTTATTTTGTCATAACCAATGTTTCTAGCATCATTATCTTTCCATGAATGCATTTCACATCTAATAATTTCTTGGTAAAATCCCTACCCTTACTCTTCTGACACTAAGAGTATTTGATCCTGGCAATCTTTATGCTTTAATTTAGTAGCTATACAGAAAATGCCACGATTGAGATATTTGAATATATATCTTTTTCATTTCACAAAACATTTCACTTAATAATGTTCCTCTCCAAGGGTTCATAAACCTAGGATCACTGTATAAGTATACTCATATTTGATTGTCTAAACATCTTAAATATGATTCTTTTTAAATATGATTCTTGAGATAACTAATTTTTATTACAGCTGAACTTTAGATTACAATAATTATCTGTCATTATTGAGTGAGGTGCTATTGACAGGAAAAAAAGTGTAAAAAAGTGTAGACATTTTTACATTCTTGTTTGAGATTTGTTAATGTATTCATTAAATAAAAGTTATTGTTTATCTTATTAAATGTGTTGGTTTCTTTATCTACCTGATGCATATTAGGTCCTTAGGGTATTATTGGGGGGACATATATGTGTTAAAATTATGATTTAACTTCAACTTCAATGGAGTCCACAGAAAAACATTCTTATAATGCTATACCTTGCAAGCCTTCTGTGGGGAAAGTCTGACTTCTCCATGTAGTACATGAAACCGCCGCTTCAGTTGTCCAATACCTCTTTCCACACAGTTTCTGGTTTTTTTATGTGATCTGAAAATTTGCAATAAATACAACTGGAATCACTAGATGATCATATAATATTTATGGGTGGTATTAATTCACAATGGAGATATCATGATACACTTTACTTGCCCACACGTATTGTTTCATTGATAAGTCACCCAAGATGCATTTACAACAAAAGAAGTAGACATTATGATTGTACGACATGTTGCCCGAATAATGCATTTAGCAAAGATATGTAAGTCTTCCATTTCGTTTTTATGTTGAAGATTGTATTTCACATAACCAAGGGAAATAACTCTATTGGTTAGTACTCGAAGCTGACTCGAAGAAATAGCAATTATACCTGTTGTAGTTTGTCTGTGATCCAGGAAGGGGACGCAAAAATGGTGTTAAAATCCACCTCCGACATGGGTAGCCGCTGTCGCCAAGCAGATGACAACTTACGGGTAACTGGTTCCCCTCAAACATCCGACATAACCCGCTTGTTGTCAAGATGCGGGAGTCATGTGTTGAGCCAGGCCAACGTGCTACAATGTCGATGATCCGGTCGTCGCTGTCAATCACTATCTGTGTATTAATACTGTGGTAGTGATGCCTGTTAATGAATTCATTCTCATTCACGGATGGGGCCTGAATTTGAACGTGAGTGCCATCAATGACACCTGTTACACCGGGGAAGTTTGCAGTCTGATAAAATCGACGCTGGTGTCGTCTTATATCTTGGGCTTGCGTGGGAAAGGTGACAAATCTACGGACCATACGCTGACTTGTGAGTGATTGAAGCGTTTGTTCGATGACTCTTGAGATGGTGGGTTGGCTCAGTCCATGGTCATCGCCATTGCACATCTGAAATTTGCCAGTGGCAAGATAACGCAAAGTGACGAGCACTTTGGTAACGCAGGACACTGCACAACTCCGATGCGTTACGGGACTTAGATCGTGTTCTAGTAAATCACAGATGTAAACAATACTGTTTCTGTCAAATCTGTACCTTTGTAACAGCTCATTATCATCTAATGTATGCAGAACTTCTCTTCTTTCATTAAATACTCTTGGAATACGTGTGGCAGCCATTTTGTTTCACATGACTTAAGTCAAAAAAGAGTTGATTTAAGCCTACCAAGATGAGTCTTAATAGTTAAGTCAAAAAATGACAAAACTTAAGTCTAAGTCTCTTGATAAATATGACTTAAGTTTTACCTCAAAACTTAAGTCGAAAAAACGTGAAAACTAAGTTTTTTAACTGACTTAAGTTTTTTTAATGACTTAAGTTGTTTGATAAATACGGCCCCAGGGGCACAACGAGTGACAAATGTCCAACATGGGGACCAGGGGTACAGGAAGTGACTAATGTCCCACATGGGGACCAGGGGCACAAGAAGTGACGAATGTTCAACATGGTGATAAGGAGCACAAGAAGTGACAACTGTGCCGCATGGTGATCAGGGGCACAAAAAAGTGACAACTGTACCGCATGAGGACCAGGTCACAAGAAGTCACAGATATCCCACATGGGGACCACTCCGTGTACCACACATGACAGACATGTGTTACTTGGCCTCTCAAACAGACATCGGACATATTGTGAAATAATATTGAAGACACGTAAAATCCAGTCTTTTAGTATTGCGTGATAGTTAATTTAGGGTATCATATAACAAGGTACAGCCAGAGATTCGCCTATCTGTCGACTCAGAGAACTCAAGTACAGTTCTTCACATGTCTTGTTTGTGCAGGGTCTGTCTGTGCTAGTTCGTAGACTGCTGGTGTCTGACCGGTCTGCCTGTATCCCTGTATCAGGTTGGCAACACGTACAAAATACGCACAAAGGACATGTGGAAACCTATAAATCACACGTCGATATTTATTGTAAGCCCTGTGTTGGCACCACCTGTTTACATGCCTTGTAAACCCAATAGTGGCTTTACTTAATAACACAAAGGTTACATGCCTTGTAAGCCAAATGGTGGTAGCCTGCTAACCCAACGTTCACATGCCTTATAAACCCAACGGTGGTTACCTGCTAACTAGTGCTGGTATTGGCACACAACCTGCTATACGATACATCACGATGCTAACATTTTAGTCACGAACATATATTGCCAAAATATTGGGCACTTAAGCTGCGATACGATATGAATTCCGATACGGGGGTGGCGATACGATACGTATCACGATACTAAAACCTTTAATTCTAAAGCCTATACTATAAAATACCTTAAGATCAAAACAAAAACAATTTTCAAGTATTTCGTCAAATTCCACCAGCGTTGTTCATTGTTCATTCGGAAAGGAGATATGAACATTTGATCATGGACTTTGTGAATGTTGATAACACGTGAGCGCTATAACTGACACAGTTCTTGAAGCAAGAATTTCCGAGAAAACTTTTACTTATGAAGGGAAAAAAAGTAAGGATATATTTTAATCATCAAACAAAAGTAAGTCTTTTTTCTTGACAGATATTGCGATCCGGCAATATTCAGAATTTAAACATCGATGTATTGTGGCCCATTTGAAGTATCATATCGGGATATACAACAATGTATATCGATTCACTGTATCGGCGGCCCATGGAACGATGCGTATCGATGAATCGTCACACCACTTCTGCTAACCCTACGTTTACATGCCTTGCAAGCCCTATAGTGACTTACATACCTAACTAGAGCTGTGACGATATATCGTAGTATCGATAATCGTGATACTTTATATAACGATAAATATATCGATACGTTTTTTTCGTATCGTGATATGTATCGTTGATCTTCAAATTGTTAATTTTCATGAGATATTGACGGATACGTGGAAAGGCGCTATATAAATGGCCTATTATTATTATTATTATTTTGTCAAAATAAATTTACACTGTTATTTGCTATTAAAATAAGATTTTTGAAAAGAACATGGCATATCGTGATATGCATCGAATCGAAGCGTATCGTTCCAAGATATCGCAATACATAGCGTATCGTGAAATTTCTGTATCGTCACACCTCTAATGCTAACCCAACGTATACGTGCCTTTGACTCCATATGCTGTCCGCATTTTCACATTCCTAATAAACTGTATGCAGGATATTGGCCTGCCCTGTTAATACCCTATATGTACACATACCCAATGGAATATATGTCCAATCAATATTATGTTCACATTACGAATAACACCTTTGCTGACATGTTATGTGAACCCTATATTGACATGTCCTGTAATGACAGAGACCCCTTTTCACAAATTATTTTATTTGTAAATAAGCATTTCAAATAAGGGTAGTTCAACACTGTCATATTCGAAATTGTAAGGTTTCCACAATAGAAGCACAGAAAGTTTACCTCCGACATACTGTTTCAAAAGCAGAAGACACATATTTAGTATGCACGCAGTATGACTGTAAAAAACATTAGCTAAATTCATACGAGATAATAATTTTAGTCTCATATGTTCCTGTTTGAATTTCAAGATAGAACGTTAATTAAGCGACTAATCTCTACCAAAAGTCTTACCTGTTGTAGTTCCAGGATACATTGTAGTCGGAGTCGTAGATGACACATGCGACAACGATGGTGTTGTCAGTGTACGTTCTGTAACATCACTCTCTTTAGCGTCTTTCCTCTTCCAGCAACTCACATTTAGTGCCATCAAGTCCTCCTTAAGACCAACGATTTGATGTTTTGTAGCAAAAAGATCATCATTGGTCTGATTTAATTCAGACTGCAGCATCCCTGCGCCACGCAGATGTAATGCCCGGATGTCTTTGGTCAGTCTGCGACGTAGTTTACGAAGACTCTTTCTGTAAGTGTCTCTATCCCGTTCAACACGTCTCAGCTGTTGTGCCAGTACTTTCACTTGTGTCTCTGTGTTTTGCACTTTGGCTTTCAATCTGTCAACTACCTTGAGAACATGTCCGGTAATAATGTTGCCAATATAGTCTTCGTTCATGATGTCGATTATAGCTTGTTTGACGAGAGGTTTTATCAAGGGAGGGAGGAATGTTGTAGTCATTTCTTCTTTCAGTGATGACTCCAACACCTTAAACTTGTTGATCAGTTTAACATCAGCATTAAGAGCTGTACGTTTAAATGTATTGATCTCTGATTCCACCAGACTTACTCGTAGAGGCAGCTTTGCAAAACTGGCCCAAGCATAACATACGTCTTGGATACCGCACAATAAGAGACCGAAGAATATAACAGTTGATAGCTCCATTATGTAAGTGTACTGTGCCGCACGCAGCTAGGCAGACGACTGCCTCGCCGCCGGGTCAACGGCTTTAATATCGCCCGACTCAAGTGTTTGGCAGAATGCCAGCTCGGGGAAACAGTAAATAATGCTTAAGCAAAGCAACGGCTTCCTTACAAGGACGTTCTAAACACCATGGGTATGTTGCCTCCTGGAATGATGGAGGTGTTAGTAATGGTAGTTATAGTAATAGTGTGCTTATATGGCGCTTATATCCAGGCAAGCTGCCTGCTCACGGCGCTACGTACATTACTATCCCCGATCATAGGACACTATCGTAGTATGTTGTCCGACCTATTATGGCCATCACAATACAGCATCGTCTCTGGAGACGTTATCTACAGCATGGAAATGTTCGCACCGGAGCGATTGTCGACGTTGGAATATATCAAGACAGCCACACAGGGAGCACTGTACAGCAGCGGTTGACGGAACACATGCTGCCGCCAGTCTAGCTTCGTGACTGACTGACTGACTGAGTTTGGTTTTACGCCGCTTTTAGCAATATTCCAGCAACATCACGGCGGGGGACACCAGAAATGGGCTTCACACATTGTACCCATGTGGGAATTCGAACCCGGGTCTTCGGCGTGCCGAGCCAACGCTTTAACCATTTACCCCACCGCCCCTCTAGCTTCGTGAACCAGTACATCAGGACCAGAAGATTAGACTGGGGCGGTTGTATTTCAGACTCATATTAATTTCCTTGGGCAACCATCAGCTCAATAAAAGCAACAAAACCTGGCGTCAGATTTCGTCATGTCTTCCATTGGTCTACCATACAAATTGCTGAATCCTTTACTGGGGGCTTTGATGTTGTAGCCTTGATCAAACAACTTCTAAGCAGGTGTGATATGGCACCATTTGAAATCTTGGTAAAAAGACATATTCGATTGTACCTGAATAGTTTATGTGTATATGATCTACATATTTTTCACTTCATAGTACATAGTACTATTCCCGTGTACGCAATACGGCACATGTGAAGAGCAACCTCCTCGTGGTGGGTGCTGGGTAACGCTAATAGCTCTCCAGCTGTTCACTTGGCAGTAATACAGGTAGGTTTTATAAGACTGGCATCAGAATGCATGTATGGCGTACTTGTTTGAGAGATGAGGTAACTACGTACTGTGTGCACGTCATGAACACGACAGCATCGACTGAGTCATCTACATTGGAATACGAAAGTGAGGCAACGATACATTTGGTACGACATCTGTTGTGTTTTGGCAACATGTGCATAATGCCAATGGTCACAATAAAAATGTCTGAGAAGCAGTGGACTATGTTGTATTTAGGGATTCAGGGGTTTATACGGCTTTCATGTTGACAGGTATGCTGACGTACTTAACACACATGAAGACCCAGTCACATACACTGTAGCATCATTCACTCATATCTCTACCGCTGCATTACTCAGTTCCTTAAAACTGTATTGATTTACTTACCACACAGTATTGCTAACTCACATCTTGAATGCTGCATTCGCGTTCTCAAACACACGTAATTTCTCTCTCGTTGTATTCAACGCTGCATTGTTCCAAGACTTATTCTCAGCGTTACTAAGTTCCAACACAGTGTGTATCACTCACACTACAACGCTGCATTGTTCCATTACTTACTAAACACAGCGTTACTAAGTTCCAACACAGTGTCATTCACTCACCCAACGCTGCATTGTTCCAAGACTTATTAAACACAGCGTTACTAAGTTCCAACACAGTGTCATTCACTCACCCAACGCTGTATTGTTCCAAGACTTATTAAACACAGCGTTACTAAGTTCCAACACAGAGTCACTCACTCACTCACTCACTCAACGCTGCATTGTTCCAAGACTTATTAAACACAGCGTTTCTAAGTTCCAACACAGTGTCACACACGGTGTCAGTGCTTGATTACTCACTTATGCACTTCTGCTCCAACATAACATCACTGACTCGATTCCTACTCAGTTTAAAAAAAACACCAAACTTTCACGTCCTAAACACTTCATTGCTCACTTACCTAAAATACAGCATAACTCACGTACCTGAACCAGAAATCCTCACTTAAAGATGCGTTACTCGCTTACTCTCTCACTAAAAACTACAGTTACTCAAAATATAGCATAACTCACGTACCTGAACCAGAAATCCTCACTTACAGATGCGTTACTCACTTACTCTCTCACTAAAAGCTACAGTACTCCACATACAGCATAACTCACGTACCTGAACCAGAAATCCTCACTTAAAGATGCGTTACTCGCTTACTCTCTCACTAAAAACTACATTACTCAAAATATAGCATAACTCACGTACCTGAACCAGAAATCCTCACTTACAGATGCGTTACTCACTTACTCTCTCTCACTAAAAACTACATTACTACCTAAAATATAGCATAAGTACTCAAAATCACATAACTCACGTACCTGAACCAGAAATCCTCACTTAAAGATGCGTTACTCACTTACTCTCTCACTAAAAGCTACAGTACTCCAAATACAGCATAACTCACGTACCTGAACCAGAAATCCTCACTTTTAAAGATGCGTTACTCACTTACTCTCTCACTAAAACTACAGACTCACTCCAAATACAGAACACATAACTCACGAATGCCATGATTACTGCATTACTCACTTGCATTTATTAACAGCCGTCTCACTTTCTTGAACACATCTTTACTCTATTCGTTAACGCTGCACTACTCACTTATTTAAGACACTCACTCATTGCTTCACGTCTGCAGTACTCACACATCAGAAACACAACGTTTACACACTCACTTAGCACACATCTTTACCTACACACAATACAATACCTATGACGAAATGTACGTTTTCTACGAGAAATTCAGGTAGCCACGGAAAACACTAGACTGGGTACCTCAAAACTTGTACTGTATTCTGATCTTGGCAACAAAAACTACATCTTGCCAATGTCAAACGAGATAAATAAATTTTCCCGCCTTTAAAATTTGCGACCTTGATACTTCATCCTGATCGTTGACCAGACGTTTTATTTTTGCAACTGAGTTTGAGGCACACATCTGAGCAGACACAAATAACATTGTTCAGTTCAGCTCAGCTATGCCGTCCAAGGGGATTAAAGCAGATCAAAGAGACTAGATTAAAACGATATCTAATTAAGCCAGTTAAGTCTCAATGAGATGAACTCAGCTAGATTGGTAAACTCAGTGTCATAATGTTGTTATAGTACATGGTTAAATGTCGAGCTATCAGCGCGACTGTACAAAAAGGAAGTGAAGTTGGTGACATTTCGAAAGCGTGGAGATGGGACATTACCAGACCCATCCTTGGCAAAAAACACCCGAGAAACGTGGCCGCATCATGGCTGCAAACAGTACCGTTCAAGCCAGTGTGGATAATACCCCAGACACCATCACAACCAAACGAGGTACGAAACGCAAGCGTGAGAGTAATAACTTTTCCCCTACGACTAGAGCAAACATTGCTAAATATGCCATCGACCATGGAAATACAAGAGCAGCTAAACACTTTAGTTCAGTATTGGAGAAGCAAATTGGAGAAAGCACGGTTAGATTCATGAAAAAATCCTATTTGGCCAAAATGTCAGAAAAACTGAAAACATTGAGGTATTTGTTCACAAACGACGAAGCCGGCCTTTGTTGTTAGGAGAACTTGATGAACTTGTGAGAGAGCATGTACATTTCATTCGTGATAACGGGGTATTCATCACCAATAACATTGTTGTGGCTACAGCAAAGGCATCGTAACTTCTAACTTCTGGCTGAAAACGGTGGTTTCCCATCTCGAAAATCACAAAAGGAAGAGTTCAAAAAAAAATCTTGGGCAGAATCATACTAAATGAAACGTACTGGTTTCTTGTGATTGAATTGCAAAGAAAGGGAAATATATTAGCTGCCAGATCTCATACTTATTTTACTGATGTAGTCTATATGGCGGCCATTTTTCCCATTTTCGGGTAGTCATGATATATATTGACTTCCGTAGAACTACAGTAACGCTAATCACGAGTCCCTATGGGCGGCCTTTGAAGCGGTGAGACAATTGTCTTCAGTAAGCACATACCTTCGTTTGTGGCAAGCATCTTTAGATTAGGCACACCCAAATTTACTGGTGAGAACACTGCTCAATCAGTAATTTTCTAAATTTAGAAGGACTTCACCCCTTCCTTGGTTAATCAAGAACTGAGATTTCGTTTCAAGAACAGGTCCATGCGGTTATTCCAAATCTCTTAGCGGACAGGTTAGTCACCAGCACGCACGTCACGGGCGTTCAAATGAATACAGCTGACAGGTTTTAGTTGCAGTTCCTAAATCGTTGAGCAAATCGTTTGGGAGCTGATAGTTTCTTTATCAGCAGGCTAAAGAGGGAAATAAAGACGTGTTGTCGTGGAGAAAGACAATGAAGACGTGGACGCTGCAGATGAACTATCCAGTTGTCACCGTCTCCAGGGCGGGGAGCAACCAGCACAAGCAGAGGAGGTTCCTCTAGGACCAATCAGCAGCGGATCCCGGCACCTACACATCCACTTACGAGTAAGTTCACGACTACATGTGTTCAACAAATAACTGATGGTTGTTTTACGCCTCTTGGCCCCGTCAGCAGCGGATCCTGGCACCTACACATCCCCGTACGAGTAAGTTCACGACTACATGTGTTCAACAAGTAACTGATGGTTGTTTTACGCCTCTTGGCCCCGTCAGCAGCGGATCCTGGCACCTACACATCCACTTACGAGTAAGTTCATGATTACATGTGTTCAACAAATAACTGATGGTTGTGTTGCACCAATGTATCCATATATTTCATCATCAGCCTCACTAAATCTTGTATAACGTGTACCTACTTCACCAGGGAGACAACATTTTCGAACAGATCCACGGCTTCCCCATGGGATCCCCTGTCTCTCCCATTATCACATAAATCTACACTCCCATTATCACATAAATCTACATGACCCATTTTGAAGAGCAAGCCCTGGCCCCCTCCCCCAT